GGGATGTAGCTTAGTGCAAAGGCTCTGGGTTCAGTCTCCGGTGAACAAACAACCAACCTCCCCACAAACCAAAACAAAAGAAGGAAAAAGATATACTCTGGGGCAGGGGATATAGCTCAGAGGCACTGTGCCTGCCTGGCAAGTGCAAGGTTCTGAGTTCAATTCCTGGTACTGAGAAAAATATATATGAATATATATGAAAAAAATATATAAATATATATGATGTGAGGAAGGTTTTTGTCCCTTTTCCTCTTTCCATACCCCACCCCCATGGCTAAACATCCTCTCCCCTCCCTGCCAGCCACAGGCTGTTTTCTCTGCCCCTACCCAGGACCAATTTAGCAAATGCTCCAATCCTCTTAGGAAACTGTCCAGCCTCAGCAGAAAGGCAAGGAATTAGGGAGGATTAGGCTCAGACTTGGGGCTTCACGGAGACAACAGCTCTGACCTCAGTCCCTGGGACAGCTGTGGTCTCATAGTCACCTAACCATGGGTGAGGCTGCCCCCCTTCCTGGATGCTTTGCTTCCGGATCTCACCGAGATAGGGCTCTGAGGACCTGGAGAGGTTAGGCAGCCGCTCCGAGACCCTGCACTGAGCCCTAGCCTTCCAGTGCTGCCCAGAAGAGACTCAGGCTGGGAGAGGGGAACCACTCAGCTCTGAACCACATTGGGGTGACTTTGGTACAATGCCTTTTAAAAACAAATTTTATTTTATTTGATCCTATTTCCCCCAAGCCCCCTCCCCTCCCTATGTATAGAAGCTTTGTTTCCATTTTTCCTTCTAGCTTCACTTTTTTTTCTTGTCCTTTTTTTCCTTTCTCCCTGCCTCCTGCCTTCACTTCCTCATTGAACACTTTCTTTCCATTTTCCAACATCCACTATACACTGCAGTCCTTATCTGCACTTTTGGTACAATGCTTTTATTTAAAAAAATTTCTTTCGAGACTTTTCTCTTTTTTGGCACTGGAGATCGAACTTGGGTCCTTGTGCTTGTGAGGCAGGTCGGTGGTGGAATCACTGAGCTAAACCCCCGGCCCTTTGAGACAAAATCTTAGTATGCCCCAGGCTGGCCTTGCACTCATGGTGATCCTCCTGCCTCAGCCTCCCGGGTGCTAGGATGACAGGCATGCACTACTACACCTGGCTGTGGTGGTGCTTTTAGGGAAGAAAATGCATTTCAGAGAAAGAGTACAGAAAGCGGAGCAGAGAAGAAGAGATTCCATAGGGACAGAGAAACCAAGGCAGACTCCCAGAGCCTCAGATGGACACCACTGACAGCCACGCACAGAAGTGCATTCACAAGCAATCGTGCATGCTGAAGTGGGAGCATCTCTGGAACTGAGGGGCTTGAGTACAGCCTGGGACACTTAGTGAGACCTTTCTCAAAACCAAACCCAACCGAACCAAATCAGACCAGAGCAACACAACAAGAAAAACCAAAACAGTTTGAATCCCCCCCGACCAAATCCAACAGTGTATGATTTGCAGCCTGAGGAAGGGGTCGTGGAAAGCCGGGAGGCCTGGCGTGGTGCAGGGCCAGCCTCGGTGGCTGCCCTGAGGAGGGCAGGGTGAGTGTGGGGACGCCGATCACCGAGGGATGAGGGTGTGGGAAGCCAGACTTGGAGCTGGCTTCACAGACTGCCTGGCTCCAGAAACCCTTCCAGAACTTTCCTTCCAGTCAGGCCTCAGAGAAGACCACTAACGGCCCCGGGGCCTGGAGCTGGGGAGTCTCAGAGGCTGCATCAACAAGACCCCGATTCCTTCCTGGCTCTTCGGTCCCTTCCTCAGTCCGGACTCCCTTCCGCCCCGCCAGGAGCGGGGTTCCCACCTCAGGGCCTCTGCCTGTGTTTCCCTCCTCCCAAATGCTGTTCCCTGGGTTCGTCTCCTCATCCAGCCTTTTGGAGGTGTATTAAATCCACTGTGTGGTCACACACATACTCCGAGGCAGTGTATTCGACCTCTTTGCTGTTGTTACCCTCCAGTTCCTTCCCACTTTCTTTTTTTCTTCTTCTCAGTACTGGAGGTTGAACCCAGGGCCTTTGCACGAGCTACATCCCCAGCCTTTTTCAGATTTGGAGACAGGCTCTCCCTAAGTCTCTAAGTTGCTCAGGCCGAATTTATGATCCTCCTGCTTCAGTCTCCTGAGTGCAGTGTGATGTTTTGAAATGATTACCACTGACCGAGGAGACCACCGGCCATTCGGAATGGGGTAACTGAGTTAACTGTGTTATTAGGTAACTATGGGCTTGCCAGGTAACTATGCTCTTTGTAGAATGCACCTGAGTAGCCACGATAGCTTCTTCCTTCTGTCACCAAAGGAACATAACAAACCCAGAAAGCCTCGCCAGAATTTACTGCCCCTCCCACTGTTCTGCTTTGTGTAAGTCTTGCTTGCTCTATTCCCAGGGAAGCGCCAAAGGAGTTAAGCCCTGTAGATGTAAAGAGGGGTAATGAGAAAGTGCTAACTTCTATTTGGGGCTCTCAAGACTGACAGGAGTCCCTCGCCGAGCCTCCAGCATCACTAAAAGCCCCTTTTTTGCTCCTGTCTTCCTGTTAAGCGTGGTCTGTCCGAGGTCCCCACAGTTTCCTGCTTTACCACAGTCAAGCTCCTTACAGAGAAATTAGTGAGCCAGGGGTTGGGATTCCATCAGGCAGGGAGGACAGCGGCCCACAGTGGAGTTCACTGCGGCAGCCCCTGCAAGGATCTCACACGAACACCCGCCAGGTCCTGTGGTCTTGGGGACCTTCTCAGAGCAGGATCAGGAGGCCAATGGCTCAAGGGTGCCACGTGCACAGTGTGTGGCCTGGAAGCATGCAGTCTCCTGTCAGGAAGAGGTCAGATCACTCACACCACACTTGGGCCGCCTTCTGAGCCCTCTGACCCCAGACGAAGAGCCCTTGTGGGAATCCCGCTCAGGACCTCTCTCGGCTGGTGGGAGCTCTGGCTCCCTCCCTCCTCTCTTGGGGTTTCACTCTTTGTCACTGTGGGACTGTCCCCAGTGTTTCAGTAACAGTCGCCACTGTGTGTGATAAGAATACTTCAGATGCGCTCTCAGCGAACTTGAAACAGGCCGGATGACGACGCTCCTAACTCTAGTCACCAGCTGCTGTCAGATCTCACTTACTCACCTTGGGCATTGCTGGAGTATCCCTCTGCCCGCACCCGTCCTTGGGAACCACAGCTCCACTCTCTTCTGTGAGTTCACCTTGAACATCCTTGGATTCTAATATCCTAACAGGTACCTGGAATCAAGCCTACTTGGGTACAGAGGTACCACAGTACAAGCTAATATTGTTTGTTTTTTGTGTTCATTTTTGTTTTGAGGCAAGGTCTCGCTATGTAGCCTAGGCTGGCCTGGAACTCAATCCACCTGCCTCAGCTTTCCGAGTGCTGGGATTACAGGCGTGTGCTGCCACTCCCAAAATTATTTATTATAAACTCAGGGGAAAAAAATCCCAAACAGCTGGATAGAGTGGGGCACACCTGTAATCCTAGCATGTTGCCACAAGTTGGAGGCCAGCCTGGACTACGTAGTGAGACCTTATCTCAGAAAGACCCAGAAGCCAAACACATAGTCAAAACAAAACAGAACACCCCAAGTGAATTTATTTTTGAGGAGGAGGATTGAAAGTTCAAGGCAAGGCTGGGAAATTTAGTGAGACCTCCTCTGGTTCAGTCCCCAGTATGTGGCAGGAAGCTACAGATCATCATTTCAGCCTTTTTTTTTGGTACTGAGGATCGAACTTGGGTCCTTGTGCTTGTGAGGTAGGCAGTGGAATCACTGCACGAAATCTTCAGCCCTTCGTTTCAGCCTTTGACGAGTCATAATTCTTTTGTTTTGTTTTGAGATAAGGTCTCACTATGTAGCTCAGCCTTGACTCAAAGTCACAGTTCTCCCTCCTACTGGGAGGCCTTGCCGGATCATAATCATCTTGCAGGTGAAGGATCTTGCCTGGATGTTGATGGCTGCTTTTGCTTTTCATTTTTTGTACCAAGGATTGAACTCAGGACCTTGAGCTTGCAAGGCAGGCACAGTGCCACTGAGCTAAATCCTTGGCCCTCTTTTCTTACTTTTGAAGTAGTAGGATACTGGACCCTAGGTCTTGGGCATTGTTTGTTTTTGGTCTCGGTTTGTGGAGGCAGGGCCTCCCTCTGTAGCTCAGGCTGGTCCTGAACTCCCTACGTGGCCCAGGCAGCAATCCACCTGCCTCAGCCTCCTGAGTGCTGGGATTACGGGCGTGGACCGCCACACCCAGCTCCAAGGTCTTGAACATTCTAAATTGCTCCCTGCCACTGAACTACATCTTGGTCTTTTTAATTTTTAAATCCTCCTCCTCCTCCTCCTTTTTCTCTTCCTGGGGTCTCAGTATGTAGCTGAGGCTGGCTTTGAACTCTCAATGATTCTCAACTTCAGCTTCCTTGAGAGTGCTGGGATTACCCTGGCAGGGAAGAGGTAACATCTCGAAATGGATCTTTTTTTTTTTTTTCTTCCTGACTAGTTGGTATCAACACAGGGCCAAAAACATCCGGTATAGTACGGTGTAAACACCCTGGCTTGTTTCCTTATAGAGCCCAGACAGAGACTCAGTCTAATTCCTAGGGGTCTTAGAATCCTCAGATAATAAGGACTAGGAGAGAGAAACTCAGGGGCCCAGGTATAGCTGAAGCCAGCTCACCACCTCCCAAGGGGCAGCAACAGCCTTGCCAGAGTGTGACAGCAGGGCCACCCCCTGCCGTGGGAACCCTCACGGTGCCATCTTCCCCTGGCTTCGGCCCGTGAGGAGGGGAGGGGGCCCAGGCTGCCTTCGACACCCAGTTCCCAGCCCCCAGCCCCACCCTGGGCTCAGGAGCTGCTCATCGAGGAAGGATGCAGGGCCAGGCAGAGGTGGGGCTGCAGGGCGGTGCGGGGAGGGTCCCTGCAGGGTGGGCAGAACAGGAGGGGATTTAAACCCGGGTCCTGGCAGAGCATCCCAGGTGCGGGGACAGAGCAAGAGCCAGGATGCAGGATCCTGGCGGCTTCCTGGGTGAGCTGGGCTGGAGCCCGAGGGCCCAGGGCAGGTG